CTTGTCATTTTAGACTCCGACTGTACTACAGCCTGACTTTGAGTTTGTAAATTCTATTATCTTATAATAAAATATTTTTGTTTAGATTATTTATTTTACATACACAATTGTAGTAATAATATAAATTTTGTAATATTAATTTATTTAACTTATGCTTACTAAGTATAATTATAATTATATTAATTATTTTTTGGATAATTATAATTTTATTAGTTATATTAAAAATAGTATCCTCTTTACATAAACAAATGTAATTTTATTATAACTTTACATACACTATTATAAAATGTCACATAAACAAATTAGTCATTTGCTAAATAATCTAATAACACAAAGAGATGTATATAGTTATATCTTTTCATGTATTATATTATGGGATTGTATACAACCTAACTATTTACCTATTGTACATGAAAATCGCAATTGCTTATAACTATTCGATGTGAAATTTGATAGCTTGAATGTGTCAAAGTTCAAAAAAATTTCAATTGAACTTTGTTCTTGGTCAATGGAATAAATGCAACGACCCAATTTCACATCCAAAGGTCAAGATTAATTATTATTTTTTGAACGGTAACGTACGACTTATCATTTATTCATATGTAAAATTCAAAATGTTCAAGAAAAAATACAAGCTTACATAAATGAAGTAACCAACGGACTCATTTGGCAAGAACATCGGCATCTTCATTCTCCTCTCTATAACAATGTTGGACCGTTGCCATAGAAGTTGACAAAATATCCCAAATTAGATGAAAAATAGTCTTTAATCTCCAAGGAATATGGGCATTTCTCTTACTAGGCAATGACATTTACCTAGTCTCCTTCGATAATCATGCCCCGTTCTAAGGTGTATAGCAATTTCAAACCTTCTAATAAACCTCGTGTTTCCGCTTCATTTGCTGTTGTGATACCACAAAGACCCAAGTAAGATTAATTGTGACCACCTTATGCAAAATATAAATGTTTAAATTGTATATTTTTCTTTCTTATATTATCTCTCATAGTATTTCGAACAAATCATGCTATTTATATAACATTTTAATGAGACCTACAAAGCAGATGCAACATACCAGTACCCAGTAAAGTGGAAAGCAACAAAGGGATGGTTGAAAACATGCATACTCCCGTGGAATCACCCAATGCATTTACTTGCGGGCAAACTTTCTATGCTTCCCCTGCAGCATAGAAGTTCTATCCTCCCCTTTATCCAACCATCTATTTTAAATGGAGGGCTAAGATTGCCCCGATCATAATGTCACATCTCTACACTATTTTATTTATTTATTTTTTTCTATGAACTATTTTGACACCAAATTTTGGACGTCCATTCTTCTATTAAACTCGCACTAGTAAAAAATATAAAAAAATTATTTTATCAAAAAATTATTTTTAATAGTTTTTATAGGTGCGCCCCAATGAGAAGATGAAAAAGTACCAAATTTCATATTCAGACATTTTTTATAAAAAACTAAAAAAATAATACTTTGAAACATCGGATCTAAGATCAAACAGTGGGTGGTTCCCTTTATCAAAATTGGATGGCTGGATGGTCGGGAGAGGATAGAACTTCTATGTTGTAGGGAAAGCATAGAAACCTTTCTCTTTCCTTGCAACCTAATTAGGAGAACTTTGCAATTTGAATTTTTGAAATCTATTTTATAATCATCGAGATGAGTGTTTTCAAGAAAATATTTGAGTTTTGAGTTTATAAGCACGTAGATACGGTCGCATGAGTATAAATATATCTACGTATGTACTCCATGTTTGATATTGAAATGGAATAAAAGGCTTTGATAGCGATCATGAACTTTATGGATGAATTATTTTCCTCTTCTGTGTATTTTTTATTTTATTTTTTTAAATTATGAATTATTTTTATCTTTTCATGTAATTTTTTATTAGATTATAAATTTAAGCTGTCTACTCGCTGCGCTAGCTAAAGTTTGCCCAAAACCAAAAGAACGCTTATAACTTATAGAAAATAGGGAGATGATTTTAGAACACTTTTAAAATAGAGAGACCAAACTAAACAAACCCACTAACTACAGTGAGGGAGGCTAGTGGAGATACTCATAGTAACATTGTTTGGTTTATTCATTGCAGGTGTAGAAGATTGACCGATACTTTTATTCTTGAGTATCAAACATTGTTGGACATGTTAAATAATGTCAAGCTTTTCCTTAATGTACATGATGATGCGATTTGAGAACTTACTACAACGGGAGCTTTTTCGGTTAAGTCAGCTTATGCCCTTATCTTATGTGATCGATATAGACAACTGGATTCAGGACTTTCCCAAATAAAGAAACTTCATGTCCCATTTAAAGTGCAATTGTTTCTTTGGATCTTACGTCAAGATAAGCTAGCTATTGTGGATAACTTAATAAAGCGATGTCTCATTTTAACCAATGTCTGCATTATGTGCAAAGGTAGCGATGAGACGGCCCAACATTTATTCATCTTCTGCCCTTCATTTTTTATATTTGGAATTGGGCTCACCAATGCTTTAATTTATCCATTTCAATTCTAGAATATTGCAGGTTGCTCATCACTAAATGGTTATCCCTTAGTATCCCAAAGGTGGGCATTATATTATGCATTCTTTGTGGATAAAGGTGTCATTCGGGGTGTGTGGAAGGATAGAAATCGAAGATTGTTTGAAGGAGGTATTACATATTTTCCTATGCTAAAATCAAATTGGTTCCCCTCTCACAAAGATAGTGGCTCTACACCAAAGAGTCTTGTCATTAACAACCCCTTAGCAGTGGCAATCTTGGGTAACATGAGATCTAGTCGAAGAGTTACTGTTTGGTCTCCTCCTCATTTATGCTTAATTAAATTGAATTTTGATGTCAGTAGCTTCGGGAATCTAAGAGTAGCAGGCCACGGTGGGCTGATTAGAAATCATTTGGGCCATGTCATATGCTCATATTCAGGTCCTTGTGGTATTGCTACAAATGAAGCGGAGGTTAGAAGTATCTTGGAGGGATTGAAACCCCTTTCACATTAGGAAGGGCAAAAAATTATTGAATGAGACTCGGCAAATGTCATAGCTTGGAGTAGTGAAGAGTTCAATGTTCCACGGAGTCTTTGAGTTTTGTTTCATGAGAATAACATTATTTCTTCATTCAATGCTATCTTACAACATTGCTTTCGTGAAGTGAAAGAGGAGGCAGATGCCTTAGCCAAAGGATAAGCTAACTCCCCTTCTTTGCTTGTCAATTTTTCCTAATGATTCCTCTTGTTTTGCTTCATGCATTTCTGGTATCTTGTAACGCTATTTTGAGTTAATAAAAAGTTCGTGTTAACGTTAAAAAAAGAAAAGAAAAGAGAGAGACCAAACCAAACAAGTAAATGGAATACAATATAAGAAAAAAAGGGAGAAGAAAGAAAGTGAACCTACTTAGTAGACCAGGCCCTAAAGCCCGACACCGGGAGTTAGAGACTGAATTAGAGTAATCAGTGCGACAGGACTTTCTCCTTTCCTTTCAGAGTTCTGGGCCAGGGATGCTCGAAGAGTTGTTAGCTTTACAGGTTAGAGATGCCTCTAGCACTTCGTCTCATTGAGTGGTACACCACAAGCAAAGATATAGGCTTTTTGAGTTGCATCGGGTTTGTAACAGTAGGGTTCAAAGTCCTTGAAATTGCAGGTTGTCCTGAGAGGTGTGGGGTCAGGGTCCAGGTTGTCTAAGGTTTATATGGGTTGAGGAGTAAGGTGGTCACTTCTGCAGAGTTCAGAGCCAGGCCAAAATGGCAGTTTTAAGGCTCTAAAGATGTCTCTGTGCTGCCCCTTTTTTTGTATTCGTTTGATTTGATTTATGTCCTTGCAGACACCCTACCATACCTAAGGGATTTCCTCTGATAACCGTAATCCCCAAACCATAGGCCCTAACCTAGAGCCTTCCTAGACCCATTTCAAACAAACTAGATTTTCGCCCCCTACAAATGCATCTTTTCCTAGCTTAAACTATATTAGAGACCCTACTAGTATAGTACTCCCTGGTGCAATATAAACGGTCCATACTCCATACACCCCATTAGGCTCGATCAATAACCTAAGCCTCGATTAATTAACGCAAGTTCACTTAATTAAGCCTCATTCAAGAGTCCTTGAACCTTCCTAAACACGCTTGTCCCCTATAAAGGATTGCCAAATTAGTTTAAAACCACACCTAAAAACTTCTCTATCTGCCGCAATACTGATTACTAAGCCATAACCAATTTCAGGCCCATGTCACCCAATTAACCCCTTATATAACTTTGACCAAACCAAAGCTCCCATCGACCAATGGGAAAATTAAAATATAATACCAAACTTAACTGAAATGGGAAACATTTATCTTTTTTTACAGTAGTCACAAATAATCTTTGACCATTGGATGTGAAATTGAGGTGGCTGCATTTATATCATTGACCAAACTCAAAGCTCAAAATAAATTTTTTCGAACTTCGACACACCCAAACAATCAGAATTCACATCGGATAGTTGAATAATGGTGACCTTCTTGTACCAAAGGTAAATAGTCTTACAGTATACAACACCAACTGAAATTGGTCATATTAGCCACAACCCCCAAAGTTTGTAAACCCTCTCTCTCACTAAGTAGGGACAACTCCTAGAGAGGTTTTTTGAGGCAGCCATGAGACAATCAACTGCACACATCGAAGAAAAGCAATTCTACTAAAAAACTGGAGGCATATTTTCATGAACCATGGTGCTTTCACTGCTTTCCACGATAGCTTTTGAGTGTGTGTAGAGAGAGAGAGAGAAAGAGAGAGAGAGAGAGAGAGTGAGAGGTTCTCCTCTTCAGCTGCAGTATACAAGGGGAAATAGAAATAATTCGTGTTAAGCGAGAAGTTATCTCAATCAGCTGCGGCATACAGCCATGCGCCTCTTCATCAGCTGCATCACCCAAGGGAAAAACGGCGTGTGTGGGCGGGGAAGGGGAGGGGGAAGAGAGGGGGGCAGGGGGCAGGGGGCGAGGGAACGGTTTCTGTTGAAGTAAATATAACAAAGAGCAAAATTTGAACAAAGTTTTACATTAACCATATGAGACTCTCAACCAAGCCGAGGACGAATATCCCATGACTTTAAACAAGATGCACACATTACCCAAACCTCACTCCACCTCATACCAACATGAAACTCAAACCGACTTCAATATTATAAATTGACAGACCCAAACTATGCGGCCTCAACATGAAAAAAAGAATACTTTTCACCAAATCACCACACAATGCGGGAAAAACTCTCAGATGCAATAGCCAACATGGATCTAAAAACCATTTAATGAAAAAGAGGTTTTGGCTCCCTTCACGCACCATCAGTAGGTTTCTCTTCTTTCTTCTCAGTTTCCAATTTAGTGGGTTCAGTCTTCTCTCCTTTTTCCTCCGACTTCTCAGCATCTTTTGCCTCCTCTTTTTTGTTTCCAACACTAAGACTCTCCAGCTGTTCAGCTGCTGATGTCACCTCCTCAGTGGCTTCTTCGCCTTTCTTGGATTGAGACTCAGCGATCTCTTCAACCATCTCCATGAATTTCTTGCAATCTACGAATAGTAGGAAAACAGATGAAGTCTAAGAAACACGAGCCCACAAAACTTATGGATTGAAGTGTGTTAACAATCCCAAATATAAATGTGAGTATAAGTGTATGTACATTGATTTTGACAGTTCGCACCTCTTTCTAAATATAACCTACAGCACCAATGAAGTGTTAACCATATAATAAAACTCACATATACAGTGATTGTATACTATGAGACTACTTATCCTTGGTACAAGAAGGTGAAGGTCATAATTATTTCTAGCTGTTAGATGTCATATTGAATAGCTTGAAATGTGTTACAAAGTTCGAGAATTTTTTTTTTTGAACTTTGAATCTAATCATTGAACTTACACAACCACCTGATTTGAAATCTGATGGACAGAAGTGATTGTGACCTCATTGTATCAAAAGTAAATGGTCTCTATATATTTGTGTTTCATTATATTACAATGACACTTCTTTGTTCTTTTTGCATCTTCTACTTTTATTATTGTATGCTGATATTCAGTGATTCAGGGGAAGAATAATAGAATTACGATAAAGAATATAAAACAAGGTAGGAATAAGAAATGACAAGGGTGCATATGTTGGCCCCAAAGTTCACTCCTAACTAATGTTTTGAGTGACAATATCTATATAAAATCCTTGAGGGCCATGCAAGGGACTCGGTGCCTCTGAAGATTATTGCACTTTCAGATCCTTCAAATGCAGAGAGCATTAGAAAATTTCCTAATGGTACAGCAAGGGCCAAAAGGATCAAATCATAACAGACACTAGCATGATCCAGTATACTCTAAATGAAGCAAATAGGAAGAAGCAGTGGATTGCTTTGTGGACTTAAGGATGAAACCGCTGTGACAGGTGGTGCCTTTCCTGCACAACATGAGCATTTGAGATCCCCGCATATGTGGATGATATAATGTACAACACCTCACCAGATTCGACTGACTCATGTGAGTACCTCTGCCTTGGCAGGCTGCAAAGGCCAGAATAGGGGTACCCCAGTGCACGTTGTAGAGTACTTGCCTCCAAGGGCATGACTTGCTAATTTTGTCTTTAGCATAATTTGCCCTGATCCATCTACTAGAATGGCAGATTTGAGAAAGAGACCTCGAGATTTGAAATGTTTTTTACATCGAAAATTTCAGTGAAGGCCTTGCCTGATTTCAAAATCTACGATTTCTTTGAAAGTTTAGGATGATCTCTAATCTGAACTATTTTTGCGTTCTTTATCCAACCATAGATTTGTTTTTTACAATAAAAACAAAGTAAAAAAAAAGAAAAAGAAAAAAGGGTTATGAGAAATTTGAATTTCAGATTTACCATTCATCCATATTTCATGAGCTCAGATCTCCTAATCTGAACTCGAAACCGAAAACAGGTTTGACGTCGTGATTTGGGGCGTCTGAGGACTTGACAAGGATTAGAGGCATCTTTGTTTGACAAGGATTAGATTTCATTTTTATCCATTTAAATTAATATATTTGATTTATTTTTTGCTATTATCATTCAATCTAGTAATACTTATGTTATTGTTGTCTTTTTGTTACATTTTATCAAACAAAGAATGAGATTACCTTTTTTTGTCTTATTTTCTTACACACATACTTTTTTCAACTCTTCATCAAATTATCTGATACATGAAAATAACATCAATTAGTCAATGTTTATTTTTTTGTCGTCGTTTTTTTGTTCATTAGTCATTGTTTTTTTGTTGATTATTTTTTACCATTTCTACTGATTTGTTTTATTTTGTGTTTTTTTGGATCTTCCTCTGTAGGGATTTTTTTTCACCCTTTCCATGGCTCATTCATGACTCCAGCAAGCCCAAGTCGACTCGCAAAAGTCAATTGGCTCAGGCATGTACCAAGTACCATGCCCAAACAAAACATTGGGATGATCTAAACTGAGGATCATATGCAGCAATACTCACCAATTGAAAACAACTTCAGACAAGAGATAACTTGATGAAGAGTGTAATGGAAAGACTAGCTGCAAAATGCCAGGGCCTAGCTGAAAAAGCTGCATGAGTATACGTCCCATACAAATCTTAAGCTTAGATCTGCCCATCCATTACATACCTCACAAAAAACTTCAACACACACACGCATGCGTACATGCACACGCGCCAAAAAAAAAAACACTCCCATATCAATAACCTTGCCATCTCTGAGGTCCTTCCAAAATGCCTCGTCCAACCTACCAAACTGCCTAAAGCTGGAGAAGAAAAACTCCCAAAGGGACACCTAAGAAACTATTTCTCCACTAAATCTCACTAAGAACCACATGCACATAGGCAAGCATGCACACACACACACCAGCAAAACCCTGCCACCCTGTAGGGACTTTACAATTCCACATCATCAACATCCTCATTACACATCACCCAAACTAATGGAATCCATATCTATCTGGCATCACCTCTTTTCAAACACATTCTTCTACCATAAAATCTGCTATAACCACCTGCAATATGGGTACAGTCCCTAAAGCCAAAATCGGTACATTCTCCTTAGCCCAATACGCAAGCCAAACCTCACACTTTGTAGTCCTATTTATGCTAAAATGTCATACTGTTATGTTGGCATGTAAGTGGCATATAACACTTACAATTGATCAAGTAGGAACATGTGCGGCTGAAAGAATGAGGTAGTGGGCTCGGATGGGTATGACTAGTTACAACGAGCCACTTTGAGAACAGGTGAGAAGGAGACATTCTGAATGAAAATTAAATCCCAAGGAGGGTGAAAGGGAGGCACATTATTTACATTTGAATAGAGAAAGGTGCATGCAGTTAGACATCAAAATTTTCATTTTAGCTCTTGGGCACTCATCAGGAACCAGTTCATAGCAGTGAGGAGGATTTGGTGATTCAGTACAGTCATTGATTAATACTGCCAAGGAAGATCTGATTTATATTACTTAAAAGAAGAAACTATCCTTTACTAACAAGCCCTAACATTGTGTATAATCATTTTCAGCATTTTGCAATGAATAAACAACAAACTAGAATAGTAGGAGACATGTCATATGTTTTATTATAATCACAAGCCATATGATGTCATATATGTTTATGGACATACACTATAGTAAAATTTGGAACCAATCTGGTAAATGTCAAGATTTTCAGCATTTTGCAATGAATAAACAACAAACTAGAATAGTAGGAGACATGTTATATTTTTTATTATAATCACAAGCCATATGATGTCATATATTTTTATCGACAGACACTATAGTAAAATTTGGAACCAATCTGGTAAATGTCAAGACAACCAAAACTCCACCAGCAAGCCAGTAAGAAACAATATGCCCATACACTTTTTATTGTTAAAAGCAACACAACGAATGTTCAAAGAAGAAACCAATGAATCAGAGACATTAAGCTCTACTCACTTTCAACAGATCCAAATCGGATGCAAAACAGCTCCTCCTTCAATTCTCCATCAGAAAAATCAGTAGCATGCCAAACACAGGATTTGTCATTTCCTGCATGCTCTTGCACAGATGTCGATGGAAGAACTACATACAGAAAACCACAGAACAGGTATTAGCCCATGGAAAATAAGATACAAATATAGTTGCAAAATGAGTGCTTTGTAGAATCCCAAAATGGAAGTAATAATGAAAATTATAAATACAACGGTGTTATTCCTGCATGGATATAAATGGGAGAAACTGCATGAAGAAAATACCTTGTATCAAAATGCACAGCTTAAGAAGAACAAAATACAGCCATAGTTGTAAAATGAGGGAAATTTATATGTCTCAAAGATTAAAGATTGCATAGGTCAAGGAGACCTAACCATAATACAACCGTACACAATGTTCAAATTTCCAAAACACGGAGGCCGCCGCCTAGGCCGTTGGCAGGCACCCAGAAACAACTTGGGGTTTTCTTTTTTTGGGGGGTTGGGGGGCATCTGTGTGTGTGTGAGAAAGAGGTCTTACACTGCCCACATGGACATGTTCTTTTTCTTCTTTTTATATGTAGAGAGAGAATATGAGTGTTTGGGTTTTTTCTTTTTCTTTTTTTTTTTTTGGGGGGAGGGGGGGGGAGGAGGGGTTGCTCACATCAAACACTTGGAGGTCTAGAGTGAGAGCCTATGGGTCCATGTGTATGTGAGTGTGTGAGAGAGAGGCCTCGCATCAAACAATTGGAGGGCATCTTCTTTATTCTCTACTTCTTATACAAAGAGAGAGAGAGAGAGAGGGCGCACATCAGCCTGTGAGCAAGAGAGAAGGGCCTTCAGGCCTTGGCCATTTTAATAGGCCTTATGCTTTTTTGGGTGGCACTAGGTGCATAGGGGTTTGGGGGACTATATTTCTCCCCCAAATCCCTTTCCCCTTTTGGGAAGGGTGGCGGGGGCCAGGGCACCTGCCTAGGCCCCATCTAGGCGTTTTGACCGAATTGTCGAACAATGGTTGTTTTCGAGGGAAATTTTATAGAACCCTAAGATATGAAGTAATCATGAACATAATTGGGTCTAATGAAATTCTTAATGCAATGGTGGCAGATTCATTAGGTATGCACCTTTTAAACTTTAGCCAACAAAAAAAGAAGATGCATAAACAATCAGATTCAATACATCGAAGTTGACTTATTGTTAACTGGAAAAAAGGATACCAATAGAAAGGCTAACAGAAACTTCACACACAAACACACAAAAAAAAAAGGATTTAGTCCTTCCAAGGGTGAACTGCTACAGTGCATATCCTACCTCAAAGGCCCCTTAGCAAGGAGCACACCATGGACGCTCAATTCAGGCGATAACAGAGGATCTAAACAAAACCTTCCCAATATTGAACATATACTATATCTTGGACTGTCAGATCTAGGTCTTAGAGAAATCATATTCATGTTCCATAAAAAAAAAAATGTTCATTTAGTGATTATAAGGCAATTTTTTTGATATTCCATATCTATGGGAGAAGAATAGATGAAAGCGGGACTAGAAGTGTAAAATTTAAAATATACGAGACTGTTTTTTAATTTCAAAATAAAACAGGAATTTTTGAAAATTTCACTAAATTTAAATTATAGTTGAAAATTTTCCACTTAGTTTTACTAATTAAATTTCAAAATTGACATTTCTATAATTATACATCATCATCATCATCATCTGAACCTTATCCAAACTATCTGGATTCAGCAACACAAATCCCGAAAGCCATTATACTCTATCAAGAGCCACACCCTCAGTCATACCATAAGTTACTATATCTCGTTTCACTACTTCCATCCATGTCCTTTTGGGCCTTCACCCCTCCTGATTGATATTGTATTAGGTCTACTTTACACCTGGCCAATCTACCTAAGTCCATTTTCCCTCGTTTTATCACCTATTGGAGCCACCCTTAAATTTTCCACTTACTTTTACTGATTCAATTTCAAAATTGACATTTCAATAATTGTGCATTATCATCATCATCTGAACCTTATCCCGACCATTTGGATTCAGCAACACAAATCCCGAAAGCCATTCTACTCTATCAAGGACCACACCGTCAGTCATACCATAAATCACTATATCTCTTTTCACTACTTCCATCCATGTCCTTTTGGGCCTTCACCCCTCTAATCAGTATTGTATTAGGTCTACTCTACACCTAATCAACCTACCTAAGTCTAATTTCCCTCGTTTTATCTACTAGAGCCACCCTTAAAGTCCCTCGTATGTATTCATTCCGAATTCTATCCTTTCATGTCTTACCGCTCATTCATCTCAACATCCTCATCTCAGCTACACATCCTACGTATATATGTTGTTTCTTCACCGCCCATCATTCCATCCTATAACTTCCCCTTCAGTCTCATTGGTATGCAGCGATCACATGAAAACTTTGGATGCTCATCTCCACTTTGCTCACCCAGTATCAATTCTATGCACGAGATCTTCCTCAATCTCTCCATTCTCCTGGATTTTCAACACAAGATATCGAAAATAATCTCTTTTGGGTATTTCTTAGCCATAATATTAACTACGTCCTCGTTTTTGCTACTATTATTAGTAAACTTGCATTCCACATATTTTGACTTAGTCTGGTTAATTTTTAAAAACCTTTTAGACTCTAGAGCATCACTCTAAAATTCTAACTTTGGATTAACACCACCTTTAGTCTCATCAGTCAATGTCATCCACGAATAGCATGCACCATGGTACATCATCCTGTAGATGTCTAGTTAACTCACCCATGATCAAAACAAAAAGATATGGGCTCAACGCTAACCCTTGAGGTAGGCCCATTATCACTAAAAAATTCACTTCTCTCCACTAGTTGTTCTCACACTAGGTAGTGCTCCCTCGTACATCTCTCACCACATCAGTATAATATTTTTCAACACCCACCAAATTAACTATTTACATACCCTATCATATGCTTTCTCTAAATTAATTAGATGATTCGATCCAATGAAATGTAGTTTTTTGCAGGTTTCTGTTACTCTAAAAGGGGTTTTGGTGGGTTTAAGGTTCAAATGAACCTTTTCTATCTTTCAAAAAAATGAAAAAAAAAAAAAAAAAGTTTTCCACCTCTGGGCGGGCCGCGGGGCATAGGCCATGGGCGGCCGCCTAGGGACCACCACCCAATTTGGCCGCCTAGGCCTGGGCGATGCGCCCAAGCCTTCTAGACCGCCTAGGTGCTGGGCGGTCCACTTTTTAAATCATTGAGTAAGATTAGGCGACTCCTCATGGAGTATTCCCTTAGCCTCTACTCTACATTCATTAAACACTCGTTACTCTTGCTTGTGATAGAAAACTTCTTCGACAAGGGCTTTTCTTTACCACAATGAGGGGAAGAATAGATATTTTTATAAGAAGGCATGTCATTCTATTAGTATATTAAAATCAATTAATGCAATAGCATCATACCCCATGTAGATGACGTCACATCCCATGTGGGTGATATCATTACGTACTAGAGTATACAAAATGCTTCTGTTTCTGCCAAAAATTTACTTATCCGTAATTACTAACTTAAAATGCCCTTAGTAGAAAGTGACAACTCAAAGGAGTGTTTCCTAAGCCTATATACTCCACTGGCGAGTGCATGGACTTTATTGAGCTACTCTTGCTCATACAGCATATCCCCTTAATCGAAACTTGCATGTTAGTAATTAATCTCAATATTAGGTAAAAACTTGTCGCTGAAACAAAAGCATTCACAAACTATGGTGGAGAATTACATCACCAACATGGGATGTGACAATACCCACATGGATGTGCAATGTCACCACATGGAGCATTAATTGCTTTCTAATTACTAATAAAATGTTGAGGTCTTCTTATAAACATCCAGTCTACCCCTAATGAATGACAAAATGACCTCACTTAAAAAGGTTTTGCATTACAAAGCAAGGACAACATGTGTTCGATGAATGTGAAGTAAATTAAACGAATAATCCATGAGTAGCAGCAGACTAACAAAACCCATATATATCATGCTTGTTTACCATTAGACAAGAAGGTTAAAATCATCCTTAGGCCTTAGATGTTGGGGTTGTGCTATTGACCACTCAAGACGTTTATGACGCCCTTAGCCACCTAATTTCACATTTTCCAGTAGGATTGATTGTGACCTTCTTGCACCAATAAATGCCATCCAAATATCCAAACCGAGCTATCGAAGGGACTCATGTTATTGTTGTAATAAAGATGCATATCCCAGTTTTGAATGGTTGTGGAGATTGCATATGCGGGAACAATGGACTCTATGGATGAAAAAGGCCTTAGAGCGACATTGGCCTTGGCTTGCAAAATAGGCGTGCCTAAATGGGTCAGTAGAGAGCTCAATGGCATATAGCCAATGACCTGAGGGCTAAGGCCAAAGCCTTGACAAACCATCCTTACCGCTATAACTATAAAATATATAGATATGATATAAGCTGGATGGATTTTTCAAGGCTTAAATTTTGCACATATACCTTTGATTTGAAAGATTAACAAATAAAAAAATGCTTATGAGTTCTCTATGGCCCAAATCCACCATCCACCAAATGGATTGCGTTCACCAAAAATGGATGACTCATTCCCTCTTTTACAAACTTTTTCCATCTTATCGTTTCAATAACCTAGATGAGATCTAGGTCTTCAAAGGGCTTTGATAAGATTTGCCTCTGACAAGCGCTGCTAGATGAGCATCCTGATAGTAGTATACATTTTCACAGCCGAAATACCCGCTTCCCTCTCCAAACAAGAGAAAAACCCTTATGTCAAAATTTCTTTGGCTAAGTTTATACGATGCATTTGCACGCACACACACCGCATTTTCAAACTTTATAAACACACACGGCACGCGCATGCGAAAAAATGTCACGTATGCCCACGAGCCTATGGAATAATTTTAAGTCCAACAGCAAATTAAAGGATCAACAAATGAATAACCTCTATTGCATGTTGTAATATATTTTTTTTCCCTCAGAAAATGTAAGATACCAGTGGACACCACATTTTGCACACATGTACGCCTCATCTAAGAACTTCAAATAAAAATTAGAGAATGGATACTCAAAAAAATGTTGGGCAAGTTGCGTCCACTATACTGGCTGTCTAGACGACTCACTCTACTTTAGGCTAGACCATTTCAGCACAGTATACAATCTTTAGCTTATGAAATCGTTGTTATAGATACAGGCATGATTTCCATGCAACAGTCTCATAATCATATAATGAAACCATACCCAAAAAAAAAAAAACTTGATATGAGTATTTGTATAAACCCAAATTCATCACACAAACTCTTCATCTAAAAGATCAATCTCAAGAAGAAAAAAATCAAATTTGCACATCAAAAAAGATTTAAATGAGTTCCATTCCAACAATGAGTGCATGCCAAACATTTGGCACACACTTAAATCTAGGACATTAAGAGCTCAAAGTCGCTTTTTTTTCTTTTACAAAATTGCTCATCGTAAGTCATTAACAATTTTTAAGTGAAAGAAAGTCCAATAGCCTAGATCTAATCATACAATCAAAAGGCCAGTTCACGTTCATTGTGTTCAACACGAACCACTTTTTAGGGTGCATTTTCAAAATTTCATTTTCCCGGATTGCATTACAATAGCGTACGTCTAAAATTTGGAATCAAATAATGAACATAATAGAACAATATAGGCCAGATGGTTTAGATTGAAGGAAAAGAGGCGATCTAGATTAGACGAGAATGGTGGACACATATTCCCCCACAATGTTTATGTGTATCCATTTTTTATTCTTATTTGGAGGGCCTAAATGAGCCAAACATGCATGCAAAATTTAAGGTCCATTGAAGCCCTACATTTTCCCCAAAAAAAATATCACAAGCAGCAAATCTGGCTGTTCATCACTCTCTCCTTCAATCTAGGCCGCCTAACTACACAATACTAAAGGCAAAGGCCAATCATATTATATATACTCATTACATTTACATATAGCGTGTGTTTCATTTCTTCGACCATTATTAGAACGCGATATCATTCCCCATATTTAAAGATGCATTCAATAAAAAGAGGAGGAAACTCAACTCGCAAGACTACCACTCACCAAGATGATTTGCACAAATCTTCAATGTCTTAGCTTGCCTCATGATAAGCCGGACCTTTCTGGTATCAGTATGCTTCAAAAGCTTCACTGTTCCCACTCCTCGTTCCTTCCATTGATTCCCGTCTTTATCAAATCGATACAATTTTGCCTTCCTACAAATGCAAAATAGATGAAAGACAATTAATGAAACAGAGAAAGTAAACCAAGTATCTCTCACATAAAAATAGAACAAAACAAAACAAGTACAAACAAGAATTAATACTATTAAATAAATTGAATAATGTATAACATTTGTGAAGATGAAGACAAACCAACACATGCCAATCAGGTAAATAACAAGCATGGTAGTAAAAAGAAATACAAAACACCAAAAAAAAAGAAAAACCTAGAAGCACTCTCTCTAAGGCAGAAAACAGAATAAAAAATAGAAATTGGCACTGCATGAGGTACAAGGAACACCCTGAAACCCTTTTTTCTGTGTGCATTTTTTTCTTTTTTTTCCTTCTTTTTTTATTTCAGGGGGGGGGAGGCATGCAGGAAGACATGGAAATGGGAAGATTAAATTGAATAAAGCAATGAAAGCAAACCTCTCTCACTTCAAACCAGTTGTCTCACCTCTCAACTCAAGGAATAGTGGATTGACGCAGATGATGGCATAGAAGACTTTTTTTTTAGTGGAATGATGGCATAGAATAGAATACTATACTCAATTACTCATAAATCTCTAATCAGATGGACTGATATCAGAATTCATTGTTGCTAAAATTGAAGAAAATGTCACAAAATAGTGCAGGAAGATAGAGCATGGCCGAAACAAACTATTGGATTTCAACAAATAAAATAATTGAATTCTCAAAAGTACATAAAACAGAATGAAAACTTTGTACTGAGAGTAATGATCGCCAACCACTCAATCTATCAAATTTAGTTTTGTAGCTCATAAAAAACACAGCTGTAAATTTCAAGTCAGCTACACCCACGTTTTGGTCAGCTAGGAATCATATTCAAATTTCAAGTCATTTCATAAGTATTTGAATGATAAAAACTGCATATCAACTGAGATGCAGGAAGATGACATTCAAAACAAAAAGAAAAGAGTGAGCAAGAGAACTGCCACATTGCTGGTCAGGCTACACAGTTACCAAAAGACGGGCTCTTACATGCCATTTAAAACCATCTATAACAAAAATATCAAGTAAAAAATAAAAATTGAGAAAAACCCAGGTATATTGACATACAATTCCTAAGAATGCATTGAAAATCAAATCTTAGTCCACAAGAATCACTTCATCCAGACCCCAAGGCAACAAAACAATGGCCAATACACAATCCCCTGAGATAAATAAGGAACCATATAAAATTAATCAGAGGAAAATTAAAGATAAGAAGGATAGAACACTAAGGAATGGAAAGTAAGACACATTAAGAAACTGCTCTTTCCACAAGAAAAACCATGCCCAGATCATTAAATACTAATTCAAATGAACACTGATCTACTACTGCTATTACTTCAAAAGAAAATAAATATTAACCAAACTATCCATTCTTTATTAGATGCTAGATAAAACAAAGACAAAAGAAATAAGAAAATCAAAATCTCGACCAGATGGAACCATCAGGGTCCCAATAAGAAAAAATTAAGCAAGACTAATCAGTGTATAATTGCTTTACCAGAATTAAAGATAGAGAGTAATGCTTATCGTAAGACAACAAAAAGAGCAAAGAGATGCAAAGCTCAAAATAAATCCATAGCAGACTTAAAAAAGATAAGAGAATAGCATTCTCATCAAAACTAATCAAACAGATAAAAGAGAAGGAAATAAATTTCTGTTATCAAGAAAGAAGATTTTTATATCGGATTCATTACACTACAGATAGTGCCAAGGAAAAGACTATCAGATCCAGCCACATAATACGAGAGACAATGCATACAAACACCCTAATTTCAAACAGAAAGGAAAAATAAATTAAAATAATAAAGCCAGTATTAACACGCCATAAAAAATGCACAGAAAACCCATATACAAACCTAAATCATGATATAACGTACAGTAATACACCATAACAACAACTCAGGGCCAGTTCCAAGGGAAGAATATGCCTAAAATTATTGAAAATTAAAATAAAAAAATCTGAACGTAACAAAAACAAAGAAAATTCGAGGATTAAAAGAACAAAATAAGCTAAAAAGGCTAATAAATGAAAACTTTGAAATACATGCAAGAAACATATTGAAAATCAACAAGTAAATAAATACAGTCCCAATCTACTGTAAAAATGACTCCAATAGAACCAGATCAACGCAGACCCCTGATCACCCACCAACAACATCAAAACAATAAAACCAATAAGAAATATATGATAATCACAATCAGATGGGATTAAAAGGACCATCTCCATGCCAGAAAGAGCTGAGAGACTGATAATCCATCAAACACACCAGTAAACCCTAATTTCCAAAAGCCCTAATTTTATCGTATACTTACAGTTCAAGTAAAACCTCTTCGTGTTCCTCTCCAGTTGAGACTGCAACCTCTTCGAGCTTAACAATAGGAGCGACCTGAGCTCCTGTGTCTTCCTCTTCGGCCCCAGCATTAGCTCCCTCATCCTCGTGCTCTCTGGCTTCAACATCCTCTGGATTGGTAGAGCCACCACCCATTGTCTAGAAAAATGAAGAAGAAACCCTAACCCTAATTTGCAAAAGCCAATATAGCGGGTGAGAGAATCACACTGAGGAGTCGCTATAAATGAAGCGTAGAAATATGGAAAAAGAAAGAGTGGACGAGTTTTATATCTAGCGAAAGACAAACCCAGAGTCTGAATAATTCGTCCAAATGGTCGAAACTATCCTTGCCTTTTCGCTGAATCTCTCATTTGAAATTTCATGAACTATCGGGGCTTTCTGGTCATTTTCTAACCACGGTACCATATGTTTGGCGATTAGAGAATCACAAGAAATACCACACTATTTGTAGAAATGACAAAAGAGTCCAAGTTGTTGTTGCGTGAACTCTGCATTGTTAATATGCCAAGACTGTTGAGGGTTTTTTTGACATTATTGAAAGAAGAGAGTAATATTTGTCATTCCTCGCTTAAGAAAATTTACATCTAGGGCGCTTCTTTGCCATGGCTATGTAAGAAAGGAAAGTTTCATAAAGGTGCCAACCTTATACTATAAAGTTTACATAAAGGTGTCAACCTTATACTAAGGTGTGCACTTAAAAAAAACCAACTAGAGGGAGTTGTATTTATGTCGGAAAACCTTCCAAGCGCCGTCTCAATCTCGAGATTCATAGACATGAAAAAAAGATAATTTATAATGTTATAAAAATATAAATAGTTCATCTTCTAACACATTAACTGAATTTTTAATATTTTAAAATATTTATAGATCCATTAAATCGTCACCATTTCTAAAATTTTAAATTTGATAATTGCAGGAAACAATAGATTTTCATATTAGGCTTTATGGTACCAAAACTGTATTTTTAGTTTTGAGGTACACCTTACTTCAATAGTGACACTTTTTATGAACCTCACCCATGTCAACAAAAAAAAAACCCAAAAAACATGTGTTTTTTTTTTGGGACATTGAAATTCATTATTGAATTGTGGTGTCCTACACCACTTGTGTATCACCCATGTCAACAAAAAAAAACCCAAAAAACATGTGTTTTTTTTTTGGGACATTGAAATTCATTATTGAATTGTGGTGTCCTACACCACTTGTGTATGACTGGGACGGACCGGGTTTTCCGGGGCACAAGATTGGAATTTGGCAGTGAGAAATGGTAAAATATTAGAATTCTCAAAAATATACTTGTGATTATTCTATAGCTTTCCACTCAAGGGAAATGGGAACCATATATTATACATTATTACTAGTGAATGATTTCCATGTTATTGCATGTATATATTTTTTTGACAATTTTTAAAAATAATAATGCTATCCCTGTATCGGATTTTGAGAATCTAAAGTTTAATATTTGTATACACCAAACAAGTGAGGCTTATAAGGAGGCCTAGGAATACTTTGGAATTTGAAAAACTTAAGTATTTTTTGCCATGAAATACACCACACTTTGTTAAACTTTAGATCTTCAAAATCCAAACTATGGGTAGCATTGTCATTAAAAAATAAAAAATAAAAATAAGACATGAACGTAATAATGTAAAAGAATAGGTGATTTTTTAAAGAAAAATTATTTCATGCAGGCTGGACCGCATTTCTACATATGAAATCTAGAAAGTGTAAAGCATCCATTTTAAAGATGGAGGCAAGTAGGTGTTCCATCTAAAAAAAATGGAAACTAACAATCCCAATAGTTTTTTTACTAAAATTATTATGTCTAACTTTTAAAATTTATTTATCTTTTTATATTCATGATCTCCATGTTAGAGATTACATGTCTTTAAAAATTGTATCTTAAAATCCATCTCAAAAATAGATTTATTAAGAGGTCCGCATTTCTACATATTGAGGCTTGGCCGTTGTAACAATCCTAAAAATTTTTAAAAAAAAAAAAAAAAAGGAGAAAATATG